AACCCCACCCCCTCAAAATAAACACCCCCGAAGTTTCCCATTATTACACTCTCATATCCTCATTATCTGCCGATGATTCGGATCTGTTAATAATAAAATAAATGCAATCATGTGCTTGGACTTTACAAACAAATCTATTTCTTTATTTAAACTTTGAAGTCACAAACTTATTGGTCTTCTTTTCTTTTTAAATAATGCATTATGTTCCTTGCGCTGAAATTTTATCTCCAAATTAAAGTCTTATATCTATTTTATTTTTTAATCTTTTTGAATAATGCAATGGGCCTTCACATTTGAAGTAGAGAGTTCAAAGTTTAAATCATATCAGTAGCCTAATATTCCCTTTTTTTTTTTTTTCCTCTCCTGTCCCAATGTAATAAAAAAAAAGTGGTTAAAAGACGATAATTTGAATCAGAGTTCATGAGTGCGAAATGTGATTAGTCTCATAGTCACAATTGTCTAACTATCCTTCCTTATTTTAAAAATTAATTAATCACATACTATGTATTTTTCCCTTTTTTTCATTAATATAGTGAATTACTATTCATTTTCTCATGATCCTAAAGTGATCCGTAATTAACTAATTAAGAGATCGTAAATAAAGCTACAACACACAGATTGGAATCCTTTTGGCCTTATCGTCACAACACTACTTTGAACCTTCTTTATTCCTATATATTAATAAATAAATTAATAGTGTGAAAGAATATAATCTTTTCTCACGGTTGAAGAGGGAGGAAAGGAATTTTTTTAAAGAAAAATATTGTTGAGGAGATTGAGAAATTGAGCTAAGGAAGCACGTTTTACTTGTCCATTTGCCTCGAGTTTGGCCATTCATTGAAGTTTAAGAAAAAGTGTAGGTAGGTGCAGACATTTTGCGTTCACATAGAGTCCGATGAGCCGCAATTTAAGGGGTACAACAACAACAATAACAAAAAACTCAAGGGTCTTATTTAAAAAACTTATTCTAATACAAGCATTAATGATCACTTTCACAGTTCAAACCCGTGACATATAGGTTACAAAAAAATAACTTTAAGACCTGATGGATTCATTGAAGTTTAATTTTTTCATTTTGCGTGATTCATTTAAGTTTCATGGAACATGTAGCACTTCGAAATAGTGAAGTCAAATTCCATTGGAAACACTCACCTACCACGGGTCTTCACTATTTGATCACTTAGTTATTGTGACCAAATGCGAAATAACATGCATTTGGGCATAAGAAGAGATTCTTGAAATGTATGAGGAGAATAACAATAATTACATGTGCTTTTATTATGAGGAGAATAATAATAATAATAACAATAGTAATAATAATAATACTAAATATAAGGTTAAATATAGCTTTTTTGTGTGTTTTCTCTTTTTTATTTTTTGAATTATTTTGGTGAAGATTCTGTTTTCGTCATTAGACCTTAATGAGAATTTTTGTAGCTACAAAAATGTTATGAGATATTTAATACCACAAATTTTAAAATTTTTATAGTCACACAAATATTATGATATAGAAGTATTTAAGATCACAAACATTTAAATATCTTGATTTCTTTATGAAATATTATGTCAAGTCAATTTACGACAAAGAAGGTGAAACAAGAGAGGAAAAAAATTATATATTAAAAAAAGAGAGAGAGAAAGCCATAAGAGCGAAGAGACAGAAAAATAGGAACCACATTTTCCTAGTTTAGTACTTCTTTTTTTCTTGCTAGTTTAGTACTAATTCAATGCATCAAATTGTATAATTGTCCATTCATTGAAATTCCATTATTAGGTGAACCATGGATTTTGCTCTTTTGCAAAAATGAATTCGAGTTTGAATAGACTCACCTACCACGAGTAAGTAGATAACGAACTTAAACTTCAATATGTGGTCAAATAAAAAATCACAATTTATGAGAATATAATATAACTATAGCCTAGAGCTACTAAAAATTATCTAAGAAAATGTCATATCACAGTCATGGAGTACCCACTTGCATACCTTCTCGATCGACCCCTTCGCACGGACTTGTCTAGAACCATTTTTCTATTACTTGGACATAAAATTAACAAAAAATATTTTCTTTCTTATACAATATTTTAAATTTATTTATCAAAATTGTCCTAATTTTGTATATTACCCACCTTAAACAAGAATTATTTATAAATTATATACATTCCATTATTTGTGCCTTAAATTAGGAGATTTAGTTACACTCTTTTCCTTTTTTTCTCTCTTCTCCTCTTTCCCTATTCTCTCTCGCTATATATATATATATATATATATATATATATATATATATATATATATAGTCAATTACTAGTGCCTTAAATTAGAGAATTTAGTTACACAATTTTTCTTTTTTATTAAAGTGAAAAAGTTAAGAAAAATATTAGAGAACTTATTTTTCATGGATAACTTAGACAATTAATGGTTGGCCTTGAAACAAGTAACACTTGGATTTAAATCAATTTTTTGATCTTGCTATGCAAAGTTTGGTCCCATATTCTGCATCTGCTGAGTTGAACTAAATATCCTAATCTTGATTTTGCAGGATTTATTTGAACTAAATTTTTTTATACAACTAATTATATAGTATACAATATATTTATAACTTATCTATAATTTTCATACATTATTTTTACTCAGTTAAATACATCTACAATATCATATAACTTAAATACAATTTTCATACAAATTTTATACAATATATCTTTTCTATGTATTTTGTATCTAATTTGTATATATTTTGTATGTGGTGTGTTCTTCTTCCTCTCTAAAATTCTAATCAAAACTTCCTCTGTTAATACAATTTTGATACATATCAACAACTTTAAGTAAAAAGATAGTATTTATAACTTAAATACAAATTTCTTACAACGATTCATATATTATACAACTATTTTTCAACCTTCATACAACATTCAAATAAAAAAAATATATAACTACAACATAATACAACTTAAATACAATTTACATACAACTATAATACAACTTTAATTCAATTTCGTAAGTATATTGTATGTCATGTGTTCTTCTCCTTCTTTTTCGATTTTCAATCTGAAATTCGGTTAAAATCAAGTCTAATCTTCACCAAACACCCTCAAAATTGAGATATATTAAACTCCAAAAAATATTCTCAATTGTTTGCAACAATACCTAGTTCAAATAAATAATAATTTTTGAAAACCCAAATTCGAATTCAATACTTCGAAACTTTTTAGTGGTTGTCAATGGTGGAGAATCAAACATCTTCAAAATTTATTGATTGACAATTTTAATTCGAACATCAATTGTGCAACACGAAAGGGAATTGCTAAGTTAAAACGATTGAAATCCATTGATGAATTTCATTAAAACTCTATACAACAAAAAAAATATAAAAAAATAGAGAATATCAAAGGAAGAAAAATTGGGAAGAAAAATTGGGAAAAAAAGCAGAGAAGGAGAGTAGAGAGACGAAGAGAGAGACTCAGGGAGAGGGGTCAAGTATAAAAGGATAAAGAAATAACTGATATTCCTTATTCAATTCCTAATATAAATGGATACTCATTTAAAACTTATTTATATATAATTGGTAAACTGTATATAACCATATAATTAAGTTAAAATTTAATTAAGGAAGGTAATAAAGTTTCAAAATCCCAAAATTCAAATGCTAAGTTGTTAAAAGTAGATACAAAAATCACCACGGGCCACTTAAACTAGTCATTTTAATCAAAATGACACGAAATATCAGGTTCCCCATCTTTGAAACTCGGACGTATTTTTTTAACACCTTGACAATTGAATCTTGTTCGCACTTAAATTAAAAACTATAATCCAAACTGTTTAGTGAAATGCTAATTAAATAAATTATTTAAACAACTTTGACTTCAATTCCTCACAAGTTGCAAATATGAATTAGACTATTTTAATTTTTACATGCTCTCAATCTGTCATACTCCCTCCCTCCGTTTCAATTGATCTGAATCCATTTGACTGGACAGAGAGTTTAAGAAAAGAGATAAGATTTTTGAATTTGTGGTGTAAAATGAGGCATATATGTTTTGTGTGGCTATAAATAATTGCATAAAGGTAAATTGTTTTCAAATAGGGAAATAAATCATTATTTTTGGTACAGACTAAAAAAGAAATATGTTCACATAAATTGAAACGAGGAGTATTAATTTTCTTTTAGTATCTCAATAATTACATTGGTGGTAGAGTTACTCTAGACTATTCTAGTCTCATATTTTTAACCTTTTTTCCATTATTCCCACTAAAACATTCAGGCAATCTTGTTACAAAAGTAAAGGTAATCATATCAAGATTTTGATAAATGTAACCTTGGTTGTTAAATGATACAAAAATAATATTAATATGAATTTTTTGACCAATTCAAAAGAGGAAAAATAATAAGTGACTAACTTTATGCTTAATGATTAACAAGAAATCAAGAATATATTTCCAACAAAGAAAGAAATTGAATTATCAACCACTTTTAGAAGAGAATTTTAAAAATGGTTTTAAATTAAACATGAGAATAATCTTGGTAAGAAAATCTGATTAACAATTTCATAAAAAGAAATAACTTAAATTCTCAACAATTTTTAAACCTCTTAAAATGGAATTAAATTACAAATATAAGGACACATTTGGTAACTAACTAAAGTTTTCAAGTGCACTCACCATTTTAAAAAGACTCCCAAGTCATGGCCACCTACCATTTTGTCCACTTAAAAGGGCAATACCGTCATTTTATTAAGCGAGCGGAAAATTCTCAGAAAGTAAAAGGGCTTAACTGTAATATACATAGAATAAAGGGACCAATCATGTGATCAATTCCTATATAAATATCCCAACTTGTAACCTCTCTGAAACAGCTCACGATAATATTGCGTATCTTTCTGCTTTCTTGTTAACTCATTCGGAATTTTCGGAATTTTCTTCATAGCAAATTTCTAGGGTTTCATCTCTTCTTCGGAATTTTCTGTAAGTAGATTTGTACATTTTAAATCTATTTTATTATTGAACATGTTCCTGATTCGTTTTTTGTTATTTTCTGGAAGTTTTCTTGGCATATCTGTACCTTTTAGATTTATTTTGTTGTTTAATTTGTTGTTTGCTTCAATTTTCGTTTTTTGCAGGATTTATTGGAGGAAAAGATCGTAATATATCGGAGAGCATCGGATTTAGAACAAATTTCAAATTTTATATTGTAAGTATGACGATTGACGTTTTTTTCCCCATCATTAACGTTTTTTTAGTGTTCATGTTCCATTTTTTTTATTTGTGGTGAATGTTGTTGATATGATTAGATTTTGGTGTTCTAAAATTCAGGAATTTGTTTTTTTATTCTGCAAAAGTTTTATGCATGTGCGAAATTTAAGTAGATCTAGGGTTGTTGATAATTCTTTATGATGTTTTAAAAATAAATCACTATATGTAGGAACTACTGACAAAATAATTCTATGTGAATCACTTAGGATTAGATTTATATTAAAAATGTATAAGAAAAAATTGTCATTAAAGGAGAAATTGTTTTGTTGAAGGTATTGAAATGTCTAAGAAAATTATTGTGATTAAGAAAACACTACTTTCCGTGTGGAGATTTGAGATTTTTTTTCACAACTGCGGTGTCCGAGTCACTTGACTTAGCCATAGGCAGATGGTAAGAGATATGATTTGAGACATCATTTTTCTGAAAAGCTTTTTGATATCATTGTTGTTGTTCTTTTCCTTTTATTTTTTAGCTAATGACTTTTTTGCCCTCTAATGAGCTAGCTACGATTTTTTAGGGGGATGAATTGAAAAGATCAATGTCTTTTCTTATTGAACCATTGGATTTGTTTTTTTTATAACTTATGTAAATTTAAGATGGATATATAATTGTAATAATTGTATCATGATATTTGTATTTTGTAAAGGTCCAGCATTATTTGAACATAAAATCACTATATTCAGAAATGAAAACTTAAGTATATTTAAATGTTTATTAAAATTATAGTCAACTTTCATCCTCTAAATAGAAAGTGTGAAAAAGGAAAGGTGACGGAGAGTGTTATTTTCCCAGCAGAGTTGGGGATTTGAGATATGGCATTTTCCTTTGTTTTTTCCCTAAAGTTTATTTTCTTTTTGAAAATTAGCTACAATTGTATATTGGAGGCATTCCAAAGATTCTTGTTTCCTAGCTGAACAGTAGGACCCACCTTGGCAGCCTTACTTGACCTTTCCCCGTCTATATTAAGGTGGGAGAATCCATCCTTAATAGGTTAATCTTCTGTAAGGATAGAATATATATACAATATCAAAAGGGAGATCTGATCTCACTTTCATGATTGTGCGAGTCACACACTTTTTGTTGGATGACATGACTTGTTCGTTTTGGAGAACTACTTCAAGCAAAATCTTCTGTCTATTTTCTATATTTTAAAATTCAAAGTTGTAATATTGACATAATTTCTGAATCTTAAGGGCTCACTCTTAATCTTTTTGTCTGTCTTTTTAATTGAATAGTTGTTACATGGTATTTGAAATAGTAAGACATTTCTCCATGTTCTATGTCAAATAACCGGTAATTGTTAGTTTTCGATGCATATTAATAATGGTTGTACGTGAATGTATGTTTTCATCACTAAGAAGAGACAAAATATGAAAAATAGGAGCTAGAGGTTCTAAGATATTTGGGAGCAATGGATGACAATATCTTGGTCTTGGACATGTAATGCCTTTTGCAAATCATAGCTCGATGAGCCAACGGCTTTGCCACATGGTGACATGCCTGCTTTTTGATCAAATTGTTCCATAGGTGTTCGTTCTAAATGATATATGGGGATAGGAAATCTTTATTATTGATAACTGGTTCTTCCTTTGTGCTATCCAGAAACCTTGATAGTTCAATTATCTCCTGTAGAAAACGTTCCCCATCCAAAAGGTTTATGTAATCTACAGATAGTATATTAGTTGTCTAAATCTTATTAAAAAAATCAAATGTCTAAATATTTATTTTTATTTTTCACCTTATTAGAGTTCTATGTCTGTTATCTTAGTTTCCCATTGGGATCTGACTTACAAGTTGCCGTTGGCATGTACAGGTGAATGATCTAATGGAGTCAAAAGGTGGGAAAAAGAAGTCCAGTAGTAGTTCCTTATTTTACGAAGCTCCCCTCGGCTACAGCATTGAAGACGTTCGACCAAACGGTGGAGTTAAGAAGTTCCGATCTGCTGCATACTCCAACGTAAGTATCTGGATTTCATTTGTTTAGAACCCCTGATCCATAGATAATAAGGATTTTGTAACTGACACTCATCTTTTTTCTACCTTCTTATGCAGTGCGCGCGCAAACCATCCTGATATTCCCTAACCTTCCGTCCTTAACGCGTCAATAGACGCAACCCAAAAAAAAAAAACAAAAAAAAATTTCTGCTTTCAGTTTCTTTTGCGCCCTCACTCCTTTTCTTCCTTCTTTTACTACTTTCTGCTTTTGTGCTCATTGCTCGGAACATTTTCCTCTTTTAACTTCTTTTGCTGCTGTGAACATTTTTCATCATGGATATGGCCTTGCCGGTCTCCGCCATTGGTTTTGAAGGTTTCGAGAAGAGGCTTGAAATTTCGTTCTTCGAGCCTGGTCTGTTTGCTGATCCTAACGGAAAAGGACTTCGATCTCTCTCAAAGGCACAATTGGATGAAATTCTCGGACCTGCTGAGTGCACCATTGTTGATTCCCTATCAAATGACGATGTTGATTCCTATGTCCTCTCCGAGTCGAGCCTCTTCGTTTATTCTTACAAGATAATCATCAAAACCTGTGGCACCACTAAGTTGCTTCTCGCAATTCCGCCCATTCTAAAGTTGGCTGAGAGCCTGTCTCTCAAAGTACAAGACGTGAGGTATACCCGTGGGAGCTTCATTTTCCCTGGTGCTCAGTCGTTTCCTCACCGTCACTTTTCTGAAGAAGTTGCTGTCCTTGATGGCTATTTTGGAAAGCTTGCTGCTGGTAGCAAGGCTGTGATTATGGGCAGTCCTGACAAAGCACAGAAATGGCATGTTTACTCTGCCTCCGCAGGACCTATTCAGTCTAATGACCCTGTTTACACTCTTGAGATGTGTATGACTGGTTTGGACAGGGAGAAGGCGTCTGTCTTTTACAAGACTGAAGGAAGCTCGGCTGCTCATATGACTGTTCGATCTGGCATAAGGAAGATCCTCCCCAATTCTGAGATATGCGATTTTGAGTTTGAACCCTGTGGTTATTCCATGAATTCAATTGAAGGAGCTGCACTCTCAACCATTCACATTACCCCCGAAGATGGCTTTAGCTATGCTAGCTTTGAAGCAGTTGGGTATGATATGAAAACCATGAAGCTGGGTCCCCTGGTTGAGAGGGTGCTGGCATGTTTCGAGCCAGATGAGTTCTCTATTGCTTTGCATGCTGATGTTGCTACCAAGTTACTGCAGCGGGTTTGCTCTGTTGATGTGAAAGGCTACTCTCTTGCTGAGTGTAGTCCAGAAGAATTTGGCAAGGGTGGTTCCATTGTCTACCAGAAGTTCACTAGGACTCCTTTCTGTGGATCTCCCAAGTCCGTTCTGAAGGGCTGCTGGAAGGAGGAATAGAACGAGGAAAAGGAGTGTCTTTGAGGGCCTGTTTTGTTTTTGTTTCAGTGTCAGTGTCAGTGTCGTTTGTTTATGTTTTTCAGAATAAAGGACTTGATGTCCAAGCTGTGTGTAGTTCGGATTTGTAATGCTGATGTGCAAATTCCGAACTAGTCTGGTTTTTTGGTGTTCCACCAGAAGCCCTATGAATCTCCATTTTGAGTTATCGTGTGTTCTCTGTTCCGTTGTTTCAAATAAACATGTCTGTTGTGTGTATTTCTTGCCCCACGGAGAATTGTGATGTGTTTGTTTTAGGTTTCCTGTTATTTAGTTGATACTGCAACCTATCTGTTCTCATTTCTATTTAGTCGTTTAGAGGACATAACAAATCTTAAAACAGGAGAAGGGTGTAGCGTTTTGTGAACTCACAGCCTCTATGGTATATAGACAACGCCTCAAATTTCTAACTGGACTTTGAAGTAAATTTTAAGCTTTATCTTTTGTATGGCTTAGGTAAATATTGTTCCCTCTTTGTTATCTAAGCTTTTATAAGCTTATGCTCCAAACAAAAGACGAATCAATTGCATCTTGCAAAATTAGCGTCGATGTTATTGTTAGCGCCAGTAATAGAAAACCGATATTATTAACCTTGAGCTTTGCAGTACCTTCTAATTTCTCACTTTGGTTTTTGTTCATCTTACCACAGTTCCTACTCCGTATATTTCAACTGCAAAATAAAAAAGAGTGAATAGATCATTTGTATGGACAGAATTCCCCTTGTAATATATACTCCAGTTTTTTTTCAATTTAGCACGCAAAATACACCTCCTGTTAGTGATATTGACTTGTATATTTGACTTCTATATATGTGTCTTTTTCTTTTTGATGGTTCCAGTCCCCCTTTCCGCCTTTCGTAGTGTATTTCCCTAAGTATTTGCTTTCGCGTAAATAATCTGTTGAGCCTCCATTCTTTACCTTTATGAAGCATATGAAAACTAGAGGAAAAGCGTTTGACGAGAGAATGCAATTAACTATAGAAAATAATAGTTCAAACAAGTCTTTATTAAGTTCAAACTAAACATCATACTATTAATTTTTCCTTTCCCAATTCATCATTTGTGTACATTCATGATCTCTTGAAAAATGATCTTACTTTTGACTAGATAGGTGCAAACTGGCTATTTGAATTGTGATCAATTAAAATGCAGGTGGGAGGTAATTGTCTTTAGTTACATTTGACAATCCAATCTACAACACCACCACCACCTCAGTCCCCAGCAAGATTTGACAATCCAATCTAGCTACCGATTGAAAATACAGTTGACAGTTAATGGGGAATACGCAATTTCTATCTTTATTTGTTCTAGTTTTATTTACAACAAAGATGGAGGTGGAATCATAATAGATGTATTTGAAGTGACATATACTTATGTACGTAGGCAGAGCCAGGATTTGAAGTTTATGGGTTCAGGATTCTAGTTCTTTTAAGTTATCGGATTCTAAATTAATAATTTATATATATCCAATGGATTTCTTAAGACAAATACAGAGTTTCGACCAAAGCTTCCCGAACCCGTAAACTATAGTCTAGCTCCGCCCCTGCTTATGTAGACAAAACTCTTCTTGAAAATACACTTGATGGGGGTATAGGTTTATAATGTCCAATTAAGTAACCCAATAGCTATGATGTTCACTTTCAAATTTTTAAGTTTGAACAATATTTGAAACTGATGATCAATGTACAAAATCTTCTCTCTTTTAATCTAAGAGAGGGTTACTGGTTATAATTGGGAGAGGAAAATCTTGGCATATTACAAAAAGACTAAAAGAAATGAAAAGAATTGAGTTTGTTGAATAAACATTAGTACAAGCTATAAATTAAACAGAAGAAAAAGAAGAATTACAACTAAGGTGAATCCAATATGAAACCCAGGGGCGGATCCGCCCTTCGGTACCGGGTTCAACTGAACCTACTACTTTTATAGTATGAATTTATGTGTAAAATTCGTTACAATTGTAACAAATATTAGATGTGAACCCATAACTTAAAATATAATGAATTAAATGCTAAAAATCTCTTAAAAGTTGAACCCATAAAATTTAAATCATAGATCCGCTTATAAAACCACATCGTACTTCATTTTACTGATAGGATTCTGCAGTCTGCAATGAGTAGTACTTTGCTTTTTCACTTCCAGTAAAGACAAGTTATAATTCTGCTTTCACCCTTTTCTGGTAAAAACGTATAAAATATCCCTTGTGTATGTATCTGTTTTTTTGCATTTTAAACATCTTGTGAGGGAAACTGTTGTCAATTTTTTAGGTAGGGCAGAAGATTTAAAGTTTGTAGGTTCCTATAATAACAGTAAGTTAGTATATAATAATAATTGTAAGGGCATGGCAGCCAGGTGCACGAAATATCCCGCATTTTATGCATGGGTCCGGGGAAAGGTCGCACCCAATAGGGGCGTGATGTAAACAACTTACCCTGATGCAAGCAACGACTGATTTTACGGCTCGAATCGGTGACCTATAGGTCACACGGAGATAACTTTACCATTGTGCGCAAGGCTCCCCATTTTGTCACAGCCAAAAAATAACAGATATTTAGTGAATTTTTATTCTCTGCATGAGTTGTTATATCCAACTCTGGGTTTTAGTCAGACTTTGGCTTGGTATAATTGATAACACTATTTTACCCCCAAATAGAAGAAATCTCAGTGCTATTGAGGTAAGAGAGGAAAAGCCCAAGTAAGGGACAAAAAGCCTTGATTATAGGGGCAAGGACACTCACAGTTTGAGTCCAGCCAAGTGCCTAAACAACTTATGGAGGAAATAACTGTAACTTTAAGGGGATAAGATGGAGTTTTTAGCCAAAATTGTCCGTTATCTTTAGGTTAAGTACTCAAGTCTAATTTTATCCTTTATCTATTGTCCTGAGCACTTATTGTCCTTTAAATTTGTTAAACTTGAGCAGGTTTAGTCCATTTAACAAAAGACCCAAAGGGAGACTTAAAAACTAACAGTGATTTCACTGAGTCAACTGGGTAAAGAAACTTTCAGTACTCAAATTTTGTAGAACCGATGTAGTGAACCTAAACCTGTTTAACGGGTCTAGTTGACCCGGTTCCGGACTGGCCTAGACCAGTAGTAAACCGGACCGACCCGAACCGATGGAAGGGGGCCGGATAGGGCTGGGTTGGGGGGTTAGGAGGTTGGTCAGTATATATGTTTTTACCGGTTAATCGGACCGGTCAAACCCGATCAATGAAAATTACTATTGAACCGGTTGAAAATTACTATTTTTCTCAATCGGGCTGGGCCGGTCCAGTTAACCGGTTCAACAATAATTTTTATTGACCGAGTTTGACCGGTCTGATTAACCGGTAAAAACATATATACGGACCAACCTCCTAACCCCCCAAACCCAACCCTACCTGGCACCCTTCCACCGGCCCGGGTCGATCCGGTTTACTACCGGTCCGGAACCGGGTCAACCAAACCCATTAAACAAGTTTAGGTTCACTACATCGGTTCTGCAAAATTTGTGTACTGAAAGTTTCTTTACCAAGTTGACTCACTGAAATCACTGTTAGTTTTTAGGTCTCCCTTTGGGTCTTTTGTTAAATGGACTAAACCTGCTCAAGTTTAGCAAATTTAAAGGACAATAAGTGCTCAGGGCAATAGATAAAGGACAAAGTTAGACTTACCCCCAAAGATAAGGGACAATTTTGGCTAAAAACTCGGATAAGATGTATGATATGATTGATACCTTGTTTGGTTGGAGGTATAATCCTGGGAGATAAATTTATATTGCCAACAAATAAATTTAATTCCAAACTTAATCCAGGATATCTCATCTTATTCCAATTTATCTCATCAAACGTGAGATTATTTTATCCCATCTCTCATGTGGTATAAATTAGTACTGAGATTATAATCCATGGATAATTTAGTCCACGCACCAAACGACCCCTAAAGCAAGAAGTGCTATTAGGGAAAATTAACCTAGATTCGAGATCGGAAGAATTGGAAACAGACTCGAAAACTAAACCATTTCTCTAGCGGCCCTTTTGGCTTTTGTTGCCTAGATAGAGCGATTTGATGTTTGTGTTGGTTTTGTTTTGCCATAGGTGGCTCGGGGTTATTGAAACCATTTATCTTTATAAGTAGTAGAACAACTTCTCTCTTTTATTGCGGAATTAGACCTGCGATTAACGTCGGCTTATCTGTCAGTCGCGTCGGGTCTGCTGCTCAATTGAAAACTATAAAACAAATTCGCGGTAGTTCAAAACTGGAATTGGCACAATATTGCGAAGTAGCTGCTCTTACTCAATTTGGCTCAGACCTTGATATTACGACTCCGACATTAGCTAATAGAAGTGCAAGGCTGACAGAAGTACCGAAACAACCACAATATGCACCACTATGAGCTTCGGAGGGTAGAGCTTCAACAACGATTGTCACCCGTATTTCGTAAGTATGTGATGTAAGGGTGTTGCAGTTTTTTGCTAGTTTTATTTTTCAACTAATTTTAGTACATTTAATTAACAATCCTTATAAAGTATTAACACTAATGTCATCATATTCATTTTACACGGGTTAAACAAAACAAATGAAGAATTTAAGTAATATTTTCAAAACCATGGTATAATTTCCCTCTAATGAAGTAGGCAATGGTACATTGGTTTAATTTTATAACTCAATGCATAATAGTATGATGGGATGAGTTTTATTCTAACCGAATAATAACAACAACAAATCCAGTAGTCTTCTACGAGTGGGGTTTAGGGAGGGTAAGATGTACGACGCCTTACCCCTACTGGAAGGGTAGGAAGACTCCTTCCGGTAGACCCTCAGCTAGAGAACGACTGAAAAAGAAAAGGTAATTGTAACAAGTAGGAATAACAACAAGATGAAATAAGATCGAATCTAAGAATGCAGTCAAACTCTAGGTAGTAATAACCATCTATGAATAAAAGATAACATACTAACACTAATGCTAGCGAACTAAGTAAGACAAAGAGAAACGCTCGACTACTTACTAATCTTTTACCCTAATCTTTGACCTCCACACCCTCCTGTTTAGTGTCATGTCCTCAGTCAGCTCCAATTGCACCTTGTCCCGCCTAATAACCTCTCCCCAAGACTTCTTAGGCCTACCTCTACCCCTCCTGATGCCCACAGCGGTTAACTGCTCACACCGTCTAACTGGGGCTTCTATACTTCTCCTCTTAACATGCCCGAACCATCTCAACCTCGCCTCCCGCATCTTA